AACCCGGCTCTTACCGGCCATATGCCGGGAGCGAATGTCTCGAGCCTCGTGCGGGGAAAAGGAATGTAAGGGGGCTGGAGGTAGTAGGTGGAAATTGGGAATGAATTCCCGTCTCCCCTTACACACTTTCGCCCTATTCGCACGGGAGACGTTATTTTAAAGCACATTATCGAGCACCTTTTATTTCAAAACATGATACAGGAGTCTATGACAGGTAGAGAGTCCACAACACCACACAATTCAAGGGTCCTAAGATCACTAATTCACACAATCAACCAACACAATATGAAGAAGAAAGGAGACTTCTTAAATGCATCAACATCCTCCATAGTGCTACACTACCTCCCTAGGTTGCATATTACTATAAAGACTGTCAATTCAAAGCATACTGAGCAGGCAATTGCAAGGAACACGTACTTGGAGCCCTCATATCGAAATTTGGACAGTGGACTAGGCTCCAAGCACACAAACAATCAAACATTCACACGCATACATAATCGAACACCCCCCCCCCCCCACACTTAAGCACGACATTATCCTCAATGGAGGAAAGATAAGGAGGGTAGAACGAAGTTACCATATCAACGGTGAATGATGGTGGACGGGTAAGGCGGTGCATTCCAGGAGGACAAAGTAGTCGGAACACAAACACCACACAAAATCTCACAAAAGTTGAATTATTGACTCTGAAATCAAAGAACAAAACTGACTCAACCGAAGAGAAGTAGGGAAAGAAATGCAAACCGACTGGTTGGGTTGCCTCCCAACAAGCGCTTCTTTCACGTCGTGAGCCGGACGATGGCTCCTAAGTTTTGGTCCACCCCAAAACCTCCTTGAAGTTGAGGTTCTTGTCGATGAGGTGGAGTCTCAAGTCACAAGCATGTGGTATGACAGGTGATGGAAGCTCGTGCACTTGATGCAGATAACGTCTCCACCCTCGAGACCTCTTCTTCTCTTCTCTCGTCTCATTGCCCCAAACCAGATATGACAGCATCGATTGACCACCATCGCGTCCACCAAGAGGGACCGATGTCGATGTGGCCTTGGTCTGGCAAAGAGACACTGCAAATGGGTCCTTGCTAAGCAGTTCCTCGAAGTTTGGTGGAGATATCACATGTAACTCATGGCCGGTGCAGGCCTCTTCCACCTTAACTCCGTCCTCAGCCTGGACGCCAATTTCTTCTTCAACCTCCCTTCCTTCTTCATGTGGTATCACCCTTGGGAAATGATCAAGAACTCCTCCTGCTTCACTTTCGTCATCCTCCACAACTTCTTTCTGCACCCTTTCTTGCTCTTCTTCTTCTAGCACGGATTGGAGAGCAAGTTGCCAAGCAATTTCTTTCATGAGATCTTCTTGCATCTCCTCACTCATGCCCGCCTCTTCAAAGCTCTGTTTGGGGTGTGGGAAGGTGTGGTCGGCTACGACAGGACATTCCTGATCATGACCATCACGGGAGCTCTCCGTGACAACTTCTGTGTGTTCCACAATGTCCTTGTAGCCTTCTTCTTCCTCCTCCTCTTCTAGTATGGTAGCAGAAGGGTGATCTGGAGCAGGTTGTGCCCAAGATCGTTCAAGATCATCGACCCTCTTCTTAAGGCTCAGGAGGATCTCCTCTGTTTCACGATAGGCCTGGACACAATGATCCATCCTGGAGCATGTTCTATCACAGTCTCGAGCAAACTGCTCCATGAGAAGTCTCAATTCATAGTGTGGTTCTGGCTGTGGAGTGTAGCATGTCTCTGCAGAATGGCCCGTGAAGGCCGCCATGGGTAATTCCAGCTCCAATGGCCCCACTGGTTGTGGGAAAAATTCTTCTTGGTAATGAGGTTGTTCTTGATATGCCCAGGGGTCCGGTTGTTCTCCGTAGTAAGGGGGTTGGTACTGGAATCCGAATCCATAGTCTTGTCCTCCTTGATTGCTCCAGGGAGTCTCGGGGTAATACCACTCGGGTGGTGGTGGATACCCCCAATTGTTGGAGAAGCCATGAGGATCAATGATTCAGATCTGCATCAACAAAAACAAAAACACCCAAGTGAAAAGCAAGGGTGGAAAAGAAAAGAAAAGAAAAACGCTAAAGTAACAAACTTCTGCCTTTCCTAATACTCTAGAAAGTCCCCGGCAACGGCGCCAAAAACTTGACTCGCTATGACACAACTCCTAACAAAGGCCAAGTGTAACCAATGAAAGGGACTGCAGTATAGTGGCTCAAGTGATAAATATCGAATCCACGGGTCTCTAGAGTTACTATTACTCAGGTTCAGTTTATTATTTAGCAAACAAGATTAAGATGAAAGAACTAAAACTACTCTAGCAAACTACAGTTAAAGTTAATCTAATTACAGGTTGGGAACTCACTTATGTATGATTCCCCCTAGCCACTAGCCAGACTAACGATTGATGATTTCCAACTTGTTTCACTTTCATTCACAATGCGGAGAATCCTTGACTTGACCTTGAGTCTCGACTAAAGGAACAAGGCCCTCTTGAGTCAATTGCCTAGAGGGACGTATCCTTCTCTAGAACAACTGATCAATGCGTTCTAAACTAGACTCCCTCTATCGAAAGAGGTTCTCAATCGATACAAAGCAGTGAATCAACCCTCGACTAAAGCAATCGATCAACTACTATCAATCTATGGTGCTCTATTGACCTAATCAGGTATTCCCTCTCATAGGATCAAAGCAGAATCAATAATCTCGACTAAAGCAGAATTGAATCATGAAAACATGCATATATTGAATATGAACTCATGATTATCAAGTCAGAGTACTCATACAATCATCCAATCAAACAAACATAGCTAGGGTTCCTCAAAACCTAAGTGAAGGGAAGTTACTCCATAGAGAAGAGAGAGACTGCAGTAAGAAACTTCAGATGATCAGTCTTCAAGTCCGGGCTTGTTCCTCGAGCTTCCAAGGCAAAGAAATCCTCCAATTCCACTCCAATAATGCCCTCAAATCGCCCTCTCTCTCTTTGGTTCGTCCCTTGGGTGTTTGGGATACAAAACCCAGCTCTCCCTCTCCTTTTTCTCGAATTTGCGTTAAAAAACCTGATTCTGGGCAAAACACGGTCGAGGGCACGGCCGTGCTTTGCTTTTGACCGCCCGTGTTTTGCCCCGTGTTAAAAACACGCTCGCGCGCGTCGGCCAAAACACGGTCGTGCCTAAATATGGGCACGGCCGTGTTGTGATTTAGGCGCGCCCGTGTTTTTACTGCCGAACCTGTTCCCCTATATTCAATGCTTCGTTTCTCCCTCGTCCGGACTCCGAATCAGTCACCGTTTGATCCCAGACGCTCGTAGTCTTGTCCTATTTCTTTTCATGTCAAGTTTGCATGATTCTTTTTCCATAAAGTGAGGTAGAAATCCATTCTTCTTCAGGTCATGCCCGAGTTTCTTCTCCCTGATCGGCAATTGATCTCTGATTGACTTGAAACTTGCGCCTATGCTTCACTTTATGTGCTAGGACCTGAAATGTGACAAAGGAACACAACCTAGCGTAAAATAGGCCAAAGAAGCGATAATGCAATCTTAAAAGATGAAGAAACAAAGGGGAAAACATGTGCAAATATCGAGTCATCAACCATACATGTGCAATCGTTCCGACAAGTCGTGGTAGTGAGTTAGGGGAGCCACACCCGGGTGAATCCTTCTTATTCAAGAGTCAAAACCAATTCCTTTTACCTTTGTTTTAACAGTAGACCATAGTTTTCAATAAAAAACTAACCGCTAGATAACGTTTCAAACAATCGAAGTATGTGTATATGGACCAGCCTGGGTTGACATTTAAACATACTTGACCTATATTGCACATAATTGAGGTTTATACTTGGGCCTTATTGGGAAGTTTTAGTGTGATACTCAGGACGAGTCAAGTTTTTGGTGTCGTTGCTGGGGAACATTCAGTCCATTATTTCTAAAAGATTGTTTGGTGCTAATCAAGCTTTTATTTATCGTTTGTATTTGTGAATCTTGTGTTAGACGAGTGTCGCAACCGCACCCTCGGGATCAGCGGATCCGTCGCGAATTGCTCGGAGTCGCCATCGACCTTAATTGTTAGTGGAAGTATAGCGAGTTTGATTTGACTTTGTTTAATTATTTGTCCATTTTTACTTATGTTAGTAATTACGTATATATCTTTATGAAACTTTTAACAACAACAAACAATTATTTTTCTACTTGTGTTTTGTAATATTTGAACCTATAATTTTTATTATATTTATTTTATATCAAATAAATATTATTTTCGTGCCATGTCCGTTCTTATACTCAATAAACTCTGTAGGTAAATTGGTGTGGCTACTCTTAATGCAGGGAGGGTCCTTCTGGGTTGCTTGGGCGCACAAGTATAAAATAAAAGGGAGATCTTACTGGGATCTGAAAGCAACTCAGTCAGGATCTTGAAATGGCGCAAACTGCTCAAACTCCGCCCTTGGTTTCATTTTCGACCAATTCCAAAGGAGAGAGGGGTTGTTTCGTGGGAATAGGGCTGTCAACCGGTCGGTTTCGGTTTAACCGAAAACCGAAAACCCGGTTATCGGTTAAACCGAGACGCCCCCTATAGCTGCCGACCACCGACCGAAGAGAGGTCACGGTTAGCCGGCCAACCGACCGGTCGGTTCCGGTTTTAGGCTCGGTTAGCCGGCCAACCGAGAAAAATAGAATTTCAAAAAAAAAAAAAAATTAAATAAAACAGAAAAAATCCTCACCACTCCTTCCTTATCTCCTCCTCCTCTCTCTTTCCTTCCTCCACACCAGACCTCTTCTCTCTCCTTCCTTCTTCTTCTCACCTTCTTTCTCCATGGATTCAGTTCCCAAATCAATTAGCAATTAATCCGCCGCCTCTCCCGCGTCGCCGACTCCTCCACCTACAGCCTCCTCCGCTCCGACTCCACAAGCGCCGCCGGCAGAGCCGAATCATTTCGGTCCCTAGTGAAGGCGACGAGGAGATCCAGGGAAGGCTGTCCCCCACGGGTATGTCCCCGTCTATGTCGGCGACGAGATGGAGCAGTTCGTGGTGAGCGCCGAGATCCTCAACCACCCGGTCTTCGTCGGCCTCCTCAACAAGTCGGCGCAGGAGTACGGATACGAGCAGCAAGGCGGGCTCCGGATCCCCTGCCACGTCCTTGTCTTCGAGCGGGTCATGGAGGCGATTCGCCTCGGCCTCGAGTCTCACGACCTCCTCAGCTCGACAGCTCCTCCTCCACCGCCGTCTCCATCGGCTACTTATGAGAATTGCCGTCTCTCCGATTTAGGTTTTTTTTTTTAAGATTTGGGGGAGAATTAATTTCACAGGAAAAGAGAGAGGTGGAGGCGGGGAGGTGGAGGGGGAAGGAGAAGGGGTTGGGGAGGTAGGGTTAGTGGGAAATGGGACCGGGGGCGGCGTCATTTTGGGGGGGGGGGTTCGGTTAGCCGGTTAACCGCCGGTTTTCGACCCCGGTTAGTCGGCTAGCCGAACCCCTACCCTTCCTCACCGCCAACCGACCGTTGTAATTGGAGTCGATTTTTCGGCTAGCCGAAAACCGGTCGGTTCGGTTGAAACCGACCGGTTAGCCGCTAACCGGAAAACCGTCCGCCAGCCCTACGTGGGAAGGATGTTTGCTGGAGAAATATAAGATCAATAAAGTCTGGACCTCTTTGAGGGCTAAACATGTCCCTTGGTGGAAATTCCTGTGGGCGAAACATAATATTCCTAGCAATCGATTTTTGTCCTGGCTCATTATAAAGGACAAAATCATTACTAGGGAGAAGCTGATTAGCTTGGGTAAGATCATTGATCCAGGTTGTGTGTTGTGCTCTGATGGTACTGATTCAAGATCTCATTTATTCTTTGATTGTTCTTACACCAAACAATTGGCCGAGACTGTACTGAGAGGTTTTCTATGCCAAGAGATTCTTCTTGGGAGGTTTGGGCGTTTGGCTAGCTGCTGCAACTAATCTAGTTTCTTCCTCCGGTATCCAAAGTCAAGTGATTGATTTTGCTTGTGTTGGTTGCTTGCTGCTATATGGAGAGAAAGATGCACCAGGGTGTTTGGGTTAGAGAGCTAGCTCCTGAGTTGTTGATTGACTCTTTCTGTTCGGATTGTAGTAACTTTGGTGTAGGTCGAGCTGAGTTTGCTTCGTTATTTGGTTTGGTTCATACTTAGAGGGTTTTTCGATTGTTAGTAGTGATTGATAGGTCAATGCTTTGGTGTTGTTTACACCCTCCTTGTATTTTTCGATTCTGGCTTAGACCAGTTGAGGTTAATAAGAATTGTCAATTATCGAAAAATATGATATAAAGAAAATAAAATCTCAAATAATTTAAGTAAAATTATATATAATTTAGACAATACGGGTCAAGAATGAAGCGGGTCAAATCGAACAAACTACCAATGCCTGCTCGTAAATATTATTTTTTTTAAAACCAAAACACCGATATTATAAAACTAAAATTCTCTTGTAGCTCAAAAATAATACTACTGAACCAAGCCGTGAAGGCTGGACATCATCGTCAACAAATATAATGCTGTGTTTTTTTACCTCCCTGCTTCTCTTGTCAACTTTATTTAAGGGACAGCCGGCCATTTGCATAGTGAGTTAGTCCTTGTTAGTGAACAGTAACAGGTATTTACGTTTATATATATATTAATTAATTAATATGCAAATTAACCACACCTTCGTGTTACTGAGTTATAACTTATAACCAACCATCAAATTATCTTTTGGAAGGAAAAAAAAAAAAGGCGCTTTGCGCATAGCAAGAGAGGAGTATTTGGTTGTAGGAAGGACCACTTCACCAAGTGGTTTGAAGCGATACCATTTGAAATCATCCGTAACTCACGATAAAAAAAATCTATGTTCGTCTTCTAGAACATTTTTCACCAAATCATATTTGGAATACCATGTCGTTCAATGTGGGTGGATAAAGAACGGGAAGCAATTTAACTGTTAGGGTTTCCCTTTGCTGATGAGCATGAAATCTTGGTCGTCATTATTTGTAACAGAACAGAAACTCGGAAACATTCAGCCTACCTAGCAAGGCTAGCAAAATGTACACTGTTTAACCATTACAATAGTTTATCCCAAAAGTTTGCTCTCTTCTCATGCATCAATTCTAAACAGGCATCCTCATCACAAGCTGCCCTGCCATAAAACTGCCAACAGCAGCAGCAACAACAACAACAACAACAACAAAGGAGTCAAAAACAGTAAAACAAAGTAGACATTCATCGTGATGGAAGCAGATGGCATTGCCAGTATTACCTCTTCACATAATAGTAGCAGAAATCAGCCAAGATAAATGTCTGAACCATTTCTGCCAGGAATGCCACGGGAAACCAGAAGTACCCACTTCCCGCTATGTACAGATACGCACCACGGGTTTCAATTACCTGAAGAGATAGGGTGAATAAGCATGAATCCACGACTACTGATGCTCCCCAAATGGAGTTGCTTGTCAAGGTGAAATTATTATACTCCTTTTGGTGAACTTAGTTCAATCGAATCAACCACGACTACAAGTTCAGTTTCAATAATCGCCTCAGGTCTTGTGCACATAGCAATGTTGGAATGACATGGGACACAGAGGAACAGAAATTTACCCGGATGATCCAATGTGCACAAGCCAAGAATCTAGCAATGCCCAACGCAAATACATAGTGAGATGTGAAAGGCTCAATCATCTGAGGTAAAAACATGTGGTTAGCTACAATCCACCTGCGAGAAAACCTCTAAATAAGGTGCCAACAATAGTACCTTAGCATTCTGCATCAGTCGCAGCTGGGGGAGGACTGAGACAGCCTCAAGGTAGGAGCAAAATGCCCAGAGGAATTCGCTCATAAAGCCGTAGTGAGTATACGGCTTTACGATCAAAGCAAGCACGACAGAAGGGATGAGCTGTCATACAAGTTCAAACACACGCAATCGATTGGGAATCAGGTAAAAATAAAATTGATGTACGCTCCCTATCAATGCTGTATAATGCCGTGATTCAAAAGTGAAATCAATATAATCAAAGATGCATTTGGTTACATACCAGATAGTATAAGGGCATGTTGTCAAGCTCCTTGACGTAAGTTGCCTTCAACTTGAACCACATCATGTATATCACCCACAGAGTCGAGACCAGACTAGCGAAATCCAGCATGGTGTGGATGTCTGCCTCCATGAACACGCTGCAAAACAGCCGCACAGCTAGGAACAATGCTGTCAATCCTTGACTCCTCAGTGACAGCCCTGTACACAAAGAAAAGATGAAAACATACAGCACAAAAACAAAAACGAATCAACACGAACGAACGATTACTAGTCACAAGTTATAAAAGAAACAGCCGTGTTTAGCATTTCGTGGGTTTGGCCATTTTCTTAATAATTTCCTGGACAGGGTTTAAGATTGAGTAGAACTGCATGAGTTGGTCGAGCAGTTGATCATCTGAATTCTTTTAAAACACAGAGCCTTCCCCCGAATGACATCAACAAATCCCAAGAACTCACAGATCCCGACTTATGATGTGGCTTAATTAAACACATTTTCGGGCCGGGTGCAGTCATTTTTTTAGTATAATCCAAGTTTATTGTGCCTGAATCGCGGTTGATAGCATAGCATGCAAGATTAGATTGTCACAACTCATAATAACAAGCCTACCTCTTTCTTGAGTTCCTTAAGCAGCGAATTCTCTATGATACGGCCATTATCTGAGGACTCCCCAGTTTTCACTCCGATGCTAAAAACTAGAAATTCAATCGGCGACCAAACGACGGCGCTAAATTTTCTTTACCAAACACAACGTGGGTCGTCCTTTTAACGATTTATTTTATTTCTCACCAGCCAAGCCAATTATCAAACCTTCTTCAGCACAGTGTCAAACACAAGAGAAAGCGAGAGAGAGAGAGAGAGTCATCAGAAGTCAACAAACAGAAAAGGGTCCACACACAGTACACAATCACACAATTCAATTAAAAAGTAGAGGAAAAGGGCTTTTATGCATGACATAATTAAGATGGAGATGTTACCGGAGCAGGTCTTCTGGGTGGTGAGCTTGTAAACCAGAACGAAGATCCCGGCCGCATGGATGGCCTCTGAGGCGACGAAGAAATGGTTATGGTTCCTCACCCACAGCTTCAGACCAACCAGCGTCAACAACCCAATTGCCACCCCGAGAATCGCCTTCACTCTGGTGGACTGCCGGGCAACCCACCCTGTCACCGCCTTCGCCGGCGACGCACTGCTAACGGCGCTCCTCTTCGACCCCATCAAGGATTTTGATCTGATTTTGACTGATTGATTAAAATTACGCGAGGGATTGTGACAAGGGATTGCTTCGCGTTGGTTGTAACAATAACCCTCAGAAGATTTGCATTGCTGGATTGAAAATTCTGCTTTGTTTATAACTACGAGGAGAAAGAGAGAAAGAAGAGGAGAAACAGAGGGAACCGAGAAAACAAACAAATTGCGGCAAATAGCTGAAACCAAGGAGTCTCAAACTTGGCAGTTTAGGGTAGCGCTGGCTGGAGCCTGACGTGGCATTTATACTTCCTTTTTCTCAAGCGTTTGCGTGTCTGAAACCAATGGAATTCGACCACGCTGGTTGAGCTTCTTAAAATAGCCGTTTCATGTCACTCTGCCATTTCTCGTTTCCCGGAGATTTTCTAACAAATGGCTGATATAAAAAAAGGATTTTAAAAATTTACCATCGGTTCTCCAGTGTTGTCAAAATCGAACCGGTAGTATGAATTGGTTTAGCGGTTCACGCTTTACTAATTTAATTTATCTTATATTAAACAGCTAAATTTTTCAACAAACTTCATTAATAATAATATTATATAAATAGAATAATATAGGGTTATAGGTATAATGTGCCCCTCTACTATGACGATTTATCAAACATGCCCCTCTACTATTTTTTACATCAAACATGCCCCTGTACTTTGACAAAATTATCAAACATGCCCTTATGCTAAAATTTTCATTGAAAAAATCATCAATCATGGTTGAACGGAGATTTAGACGACCCGACATCGGCAAATAGGAGGGAAAATTCAGTTTTATCCCCCATTTTATTTCTCTGGGTCTCTTCAAAGTGAAATTATTTGAATTATTTGGCTATACAAAAGAACCAAAAAATTCTAAAGTAAAATTATTAGGGATATTTTAGAAATTTGTGTCGTCCAAACCAAAGTTCGGCGTTGATTAATTGTTTTTGCCTTTTTGGATGACAATTTTAACAAAAGTGCATGTTTGATAATTTTTACAAAGCACAGAGTCATGTTTGATGTAAAAAATAGTAA